GACCTGGCGAAAGCCAAGAGGCGATGGACGGAAAAAAATGGGGTGCACATCTGTTGCTGCTTGAACCCGGTGGAAGTTAGCTGCTTATTATTTGGTTTCGTCTGGTGGCTTGATTGTTTGTTGCTAAAAGAAGGCCCATCAGCCTTTTGCAGCGTTAGGTGAGGTGTTTCTTGTTGTTGCGGAGTTTGCGGGTTTTCGCGCAGGTGGCCGGCTTCCATTTGGATGATTGTATTGAATACTTCATGCCCCTTGTTGGCCCCCCTTGCCCCCTCTAGACTCTAGACTCCTACCGAAGTTTTCAGCCCGGACAGAAGATGAATCACGATCTTTCAGTCAATCCCGTTATGAACTAATAGTATAAATTTAAAACGGGATGGAGTAAGAATCTGCTTACCCAATAGGGAAAGATGTGGGAAGGTGAAGTATTGAAGGCTTTCTTGCTCCGTCATCGTATTCGATATCGTGTCAATTACATTTGGGTAATTGAATTAAAACATAACACGGAGTAGCGGAGTAGCGCGGAGTAGCGAAGGATTGGTGTATACATCAGGAGGAGGAAAGTTTTTTCCGGTTTAGCGTCTTATAGGCATCATGATCCTCAGCCGCGGATCGATTATCCTCATTTCGCGTGGCTTGCGTGGTGGATCGTATTTCAACCAAACCATTGCGCTTCTTCAACCCTGATGCAAAAAACTTTACAAACATGAACTTAAACACGTTCCCAAAAATGGGACCGCCTAGCAGTCCCATTTTGGGACCGCATGCACAGCTTAGTAAAAGAACAAAAGAAAGCATTTTCACGGTCCCATTTTTGGGACCGTCTGGCGGAGCAAGCTGTTTTGTAGATGATTTTGTTCCTTGTTGGGGCAAGCGGGGTGCACATCTGTTGCTGCTTGAGCCCGGTGGAAGTTAGCTTCTTATTATTTGGTTTCGTCTGGTGGCTTGATTGTTTGTTGCTAAAAGAAGGCCCATCAGCCTTTTGCAGCGTTAGGTGAGGTGTTTCTTGTTGTTGCGGAGTTTGCGGGTTTTCGCGCAGGTGGCCGGCTTCCATTTGGATGATTGTATTGAATACTTCATGCCCCTTGTTGGCCCCCCTTCCCCCCTCTAGACTCTAGACTCCTACCGAAGTTTTCAGCCCGGACAGAAGATGAATCACGATCTTTCAGTCAATCCCGTTATGAACTAAAAGTATAAATTTAAAACGGGATGGAGTAAGAATCTGCTTACCCAATAGGGAAAGATGTGGGAAGGTGAAGTATTGAAGGCTTTCTTACTCCGTCATCGTATTCGATATCGTGTCAATTACATTTGGGTAATTGAATTAAAACATAGCACGGAGTAGCGGAGTAGCGCGGAGTAGCGAAGGATTGGTGTATACATCAGGAGGAGGAAAGTTTTTTCCCGTTTAGCGTCTTATAGGCATTATGATCGTCAGCCGCGGATCAGTTATCCTCATTTCGCGTGGCTTGCGTGGCGGATCGTATTTCAAGTCGGAATAAAGTAAAGAGGGTTGCTGCAGCTAGTCAAGAGGAAACACTTTTGTCCTGGTGTTGTATGTTGCCTGTGTCGTGCTGCATCGTAATCGCCACATTGGAGCCAGTGAACGGAGACAGCTGATACCACATGTGCGCTTTCAGATTTCATTTTTGGGGCCGGAAAGCCAATTGAAATCAAGCTTCGCATGTGCGGGCCTCCTCTGCGTTGTATGTCCAGCATATTCCTACCTTTGCACACAGCTTACCGCCGCAGGGAGCTTGATTCAGCCCTGGCCGCCGTCATCGGCTTCCGCGCAACAAGAAGGCCAACAATCGAGGTGCTTTTGCTATCTAGTCCCGGCCCGAAAATCGCCGTAGCCGAGCCCGAGCCCGAGGTCGAAGTCGAACCAGTGCGCAGGGGGAAGTCAAAGATGAGAGTATCATAGCGTATCATAGCGTAACAACAAAGCATTTGTGCAAGATCCATGGCTCTGGCCCTCTGGATCCAGGTCTGTCCTCTGCAAGATCGATGTTTGAGGATCCTCTACAGAGCACTTATGCAAGATCCATGTCCCGGATCCTCTACAAGATCCATGTCCCTACAGGATCCATCCCGAAGTCGAGACCGAAGTCGAAGTCGATCTTCCCGCCCCCTCTCCACTCCCACCCCCTGCTTCCGTGCTGCTTGGCTGCGGCTCAGGTGGCTTTACGTAGATCCATGCCCAAAGCGAAGTGGAAGTCGAGCGTTCCCACCCCCTTCTCCATATGTCTCTCCCACAGCGGAACCCGAACCCGAAGTCGAACCAATATACGGGGAAATCAAAGATGAGACTGTCATAGGGCAACTGCAAAGCACTTGTGCAAGAGCCATGTCTGTGGATCTATGGGTCTAGGTCCCTTTTCTTACAGTAGACCATTTGTGTGCATCCTCTACAGAACTCTTGTGCAAGATCCATGTCTCGGATCCTCTACAAGATCCATGTCTCAGGAACCTATACAGGATCCATGTCGAAACCGAAGTCGAAGTCGATCATTCCGCAACCTCTCTCCAATGTCACTCCCGAAGCCGAACCCGAACCCGAAGTCGAAGTCGAACCAGTTAGCCAACGGGCGGGGTACTTACTGTTCAAAACACAATTCTTGGTTTCTTGTATGAGATTCGAACAGAGAATGCGAGGAAAATGTGTGGACGATGCAGAAACATAGTAGCTGCAATGTTTGATGAAATGTACCAAAGCGCAGTTGATCAAAACCGATCGGAAACACCAGACCATTACCAAGCACTGGCGAACATCTACAGAGGCGGATGAAACAAATTTTTATTTTTCTCTCTGGAAAACTGTGCCCTTTTACAGATACAAAAGCTGGAAAAAAAAGGCAAATGAATACAGAAAAAACCAAAACTGAGCTGAAGGCTGCAGTATTGGAAGGAGGAGTGAGAAACACGCACAAATCGAGAAGAGACGTGTACAACATTTTTCATCCGTTGGCACATTACACTCATTGTGCATATCTAGGGCGTGTGGTTCAAAAAAAGTGACGCTGCCCGCTTCGCAAAAATAAACATGTTGGGTTCAAATTTTCAGAACCTACACGTATTTCGAACTATGTTTTTCTTGGTTCGCATTCTTGTAAAAACATATTTTTCAAGCAAACAAATCACAGGTCTTCATTGAAACCTTTGCTTGCAATGATTCCCCCATTGGCGATTACATGATATATCCGTTGGAAAAGTGGAAATTCCGCCAAAATTTGTGGGTTCATCAGGTTTCAGCCCCTACAACAGAGTCATGGGATGTGATGATGTGATGCTAAAATGCTGTGTTGGGGGTGTTTCACCCCACGACATGTTGGGGCATGTGGAACCAAAAATAAAATGAACCTGGTGTCTGATTTGGAACGGGTTGTCAAAAACCAATATGTTTTTTATGGCATTGGGGTTCTCTATTATATATATATAATCCGTTTTTGTTTTCCAAAACAAACGTGGGTTCCAAGATTTCCACAACTGCATGCTGGCGAGTGCCATGACATCGTGGTTTTTGCTCAAGCAATGCATTATTTTCATTGAATTGCGAAGGCTCCGTGTTTGGTTCATGTGTTGAATTGTGTTGATAATATGGCATGTTTGCGCATGACATGGGTCTTCTAACTTGTAGTGAACCTCAATCCAATGTATTTGAAATTCAGAAAAAAACCTTGAACTTGGAAAGTCCAGAGGTCAGCTGCCGGCAAAATAACACATTTTGCACATTTGTGACACCACTTTACCTCACAAAAAAAACTGACAGTGACTGCGAATGACTGTTAGTTTTGTCCTCGTTCATTTGGCAGGCGAAATGCCGCGCAGCATGCAGACGTGTTGAAGGCCCGGTTCAAGAAATCCGTTGGGACAATTCCATTTTTTTGTTTTTTCGCTATCAATGATACCATCGGGTATATTAGCACGGATGTGGAAGGAACATCAGCATTTTTATAGCCAATTCATAGATAAATGGGCAATTTTCCACATTTATGTTACTTTGGCATAAGGTATTTTCTTGAATGATAAGGAATTCCTTTGGCGGCTCAGGCACCGCCCATGCAGGGCTCCATGCCTTGTGGTCTCCGTCAAGCAGGTGTGGAGTCATAATTTTTGAACAAAAAAAGAAGGTGGAAAGTAGTCCACAAAACATTGCTTTGAAACTGGGGATCTAGATGGATCTAGATTCAAAAAAAAATCATTTTGCAAATTTGATTTGGTTTATATACATTTTTGAAGGGCCGGGTCAAGCAGCATTGAAATTTGTTCAAAATGTGTTGATGGCCGAAGTCTGTATGGTTTCGGCTGTTTGGTCGGCATTCAGAACAACATTTTGGTGGTTGCTACTATTTGACGCGTCATTTTGGATATGTGGGTTTCCTAAAATGGGGCTACCCCCAATGGATTTTCCATATTTTTTATCCGTTGGATCCATAAATGGGGATTTTAAGCATGGAACCCCCCAATATATGGCTTAGTCTCTTGTCAGAGGGCACCGCAGATTCCAATGGATTCGCATCATTTTCCTTATATAAAACTTAGAAAAGTGTCATTTGGAAAATCATACGGAAATCCCTATCATTACATGGGGATGGGTCAAAACCCTGGTACCTAGTGAACCCCAAAATAACTGGTAAATGGATGTTCATCCCACTAAAATGTATCTATAGGTATTGACCCATACCCACATATTTCCATAACCAATTTGTAGGGGATATGACGGATATAATCATCATTTTCCCTATCATTCTTTCAATGGATATCCCCTATTGTCAGACAAAACCATATGATTTTCAGCTGCACCGCACCTCAATCCACGGAGGTTCCACTGACGGCTGTGTGGCGCTCAATGGCCATACGTCGTTCAAGATTGCCATAGAATTGGCACCGATATAGATATACCGCCGTGATAAAATCCCTCTGTAATCCTCTGTATTTCTTAGATGAAACACAGATGGGTCGAGCCGAAACAACCCAGAAGACCAAGGTCACGTGGCTGCCTGATGCCGTTTAAAGACACAGCAGCAAAGGTTCGAAATGGTCCGGTTGACTCAGGTGTTTTCCTTGAGAGTGTTTTGGGTACTTGGAAGTGCAGTTCCAATTATAGGTGGATGTAGAAGTATAGTTTTAGTTATAGTTATAGTTATAGTTATAGTTATAGTTATAATTATAGTTATATTATAATTATAGTTATAGTTATAGTTATAGTATAATCATAGTTACAGTTACAGTTATAGTTATAGTTATAGTTATAGTTATACTTATATAGTGATAGTGATAGTTATGGTTATAGTTATAGTTAGAGTTGGAGTTGGAGTTATAGCTATAGTTATAGTTATAATTCTAGCCATAGTTATAGGGGTTATATCCCAACAACCACGGGACTTTAGTTATATCCATTTGTAACCTCAACGCCCAGATTTCCTGGCTTGAAGACCTGTTTTGTTTATCCGAAAATTGGATGAGAAAATGTCCAACCCCCTACTTGGGGTAGAATCCCATGGAGTTCCTGTACAGTTTCCCTCAAACCCATCCATTCCAATCCAATCGAAAATCGTTCAACATTTTTCCAACATTTTCGATGGTTCAATCCCAATTTTCCAGCATTTTTGATGACGAATCTCGGGTTTCCATGGCTTTCCTATAGAATGTCCCATACAATCCCCATGGAATCCCATATGAATTTGGCCGGAACATACCTCCAATTCCAATGGATCATTCCCCCATGGAATCCCATGGTATTTTTCGAATCCACATTTTCAGAGCCATAGAATCTTCGAATCCTGAAGGTCTCATGAATTGTCATCCCTACCCATCCCTATCCCATTTGTTGAGATCCCCATTGAATCCCCACGAATCCGCCACGAGTGAAACTCCAGAAATTAGGCCATCCGAAACCTCAAGTACCGGAGGCATGGCGCATTGAGGCCTGGGGAGAGCCAGAAATCGAGGCTATTTTTTTCTCAAAGATGTTGGTTTCGGCATCCGAGAAATCGACATTTTCCAGCATGCCTGGACAATGTTGGACATATTTTCTCGAAAGCTGAGTTGTTGAAGGACATATTTTGTCTGAGATCCTTTCTTCATTTTCGAAAATGTTGCCCAGCAGCCGAGTGGAGGATTCTCAGATGAACCAGCAAAGATTGGAAGCACAGAACATCATAAATTGATCACAAAACATCAGAAAACCACCATTTTATGGGAGATTTTTCCCCTGTTTTTCATGGGGTTTTCCCACTACTTTTTGTGTATCACCCCATTTTTATCGTAACTGGTCAGCAACTGAGGCTAGTAGGGACTCACTGGGCCGTGAACCGAACCACGCCGAAACCAGGAGCCGGAACCGCCATCATCGGATCCACAACAAGCCTACTTTGATCAGGCCGTGGGTTTGGGCTGGACATTTTCAGGGAAGAAACTGCGACATCATTTGGTAAAAATTCCCATTGAAAAAGGCAACCGAAAAGATAGAACATGATAGAAACTTGGCAGATTTTTGGGGCAAATATGAGGAACACATCATCTTTTTGGCATCCTGGAAATAGGTTTCGATCTTTTTGGGGGTTGGAAGATCTCGAACTGAAAAATTATCATGAATACCTGAAATATGTCCAGTTGACAAAAATAATGGGCACCCAGAAAAAAATCAGCATATCTTTGGTTCATACCTTATTTTCAGAGAATCCCAGATGGAGGACCTAGATTTTCATCCAGGTCCGAAGCGTGGGATTTGTCAGAATGATGACCCGAAGCCTGGTGTCTGGCCCTGGGCCCTCAAAGAAACACTATCCAGTCATCCAGTCCCAATTGTTTGGCTACTGGGGTCAAGAATTTGGAGCTACACTATCTCCGGATCCTTCCTTTTCAGATATCATGAGCCAGCTGATGTTAGGAATGGTTGATGCCCAAAGATGATTTTCATAGTGACAGAGGTGGCTCAGTGAATCCAACTCAGGATGCGGCGGATTCAATGGTCTGCGGCTCAAGTGGTAGCTGAAATCGGGTCGCAGACATTTCCCCATCCAAAAATGATGAAGCAAAAGACACCCGAAACCCTGATGATGTGATGTGACATCCACGTTGGTTTTACCGTGTTTATCCATGTTTTACCATTCCTGCATCCACATTTTGGTGGCAACATCCATATTTTGGTGGCAAACAGCGCCTGTTTGGCATCCCATGCCATCGAAGCCCAGGATGACGAAGACCAGGGTGTTTCGAGCCAAAACAGTGAGGCGCGGACATCCGAGATGGAGAAATGGAAGGACCAGTTCACCAGTATGGGGGTTTCCTAAAATCCCTACGTAGGCCCTACGATTAACGGTTATATAATAATGGTTAGTAAATATGTTAATAATGGTTTTTCTATTGATTGATAATGGACTTAATCGATGTAGTATTGGGGGTACCCACAAATCATCCAGTCGTCATGGATGACCAAAGATTTCCGTATTGAAACCTATGGTTTCCGGGATCTCCCATTTTAAGAACCTCCCGAGAATGCGCAACCCTCAAAGAGATGAAAAGCCACGATCTCCAGGTTTCCGACTTTTCGGCATCGACCTTTGGGGGCGTTGCTGATGTAAGCCTCAATTTGAGGTGCAGAAAAGATCAGAGTCTAGGCCACTCAAGTTGTGGAATCACTTTTTTTACGAAATTCCACAGTTTTTTTTTTTGGCTTACTATAATCCCAAAGAATCGGTCCTGTTTGTAGGGAGCCTTTGCACCCCTAAAGGGCGCTTTTTTGCCGTGGACACCATTGCCGCAGGAGTTTCATCGGAATGTGGCCCCAAAAAAGAACAATCTCATGGGCGTGCTCAATCTGTTGAAGGCGCCTGGGGTCCAGGGTAGGGAGGTAGACAAAGGCGCTGCAATTTTTTGGGGACTTTGGTGCGAAAAAATGGGAAGATCACCGTAGAGTACAACGCAGAAATGATGGGTTTTCTCGGCGTGACAGGACGGGCGATCCAATTGTGAGCCAGCTGAGGAGACTGTTTTTTTTGGGCTTTTTGGGACCATAAAATTATGGACTTTTTGGGGGATCAAAAAATCTTAAGCTACTCAGCTACTCCTAAAACTCCATTTCTGGAGGTTCTGATGAATAGGGGTTCATTTGGGTTTGAGGTGCCTGCAGCCAGTGTTTTGCGGATTTGAGACGTGGCTGACAGTGGCACCTAAACAACTCTCAGAGGGATGACGAACCACGTTTTTTTCTGGACCTTTCCATGGCAAGTGGCTCGGAACATAGAGGTTTTACCCTGAGTTAAACATATAGATAGTTGAAAAGCCACCATGAACGTAGATCATGTTCCGGGATTCCGGGAACCAGGAGTTCTTCCACATCTTTTTGTTTTCCACTAGAATTCAGAGAAATTTGAGGCCTCAAAGAGTTTCATGGCGCCATCCAATCCGCTGATAATGAGCATTTTTATGAGCAGAAATATCCTCCACCTTCAGACCCATAGCCATCGTGAAATCCCAACATAGGAGAAATGGTATCGATAAGATCCAGTTCTTCATTTGATACCCTCGGTTGTTGTCTTTTAGGTATGGAAAATCACCATTTGATAAGTAAACCAAGTAAAGCATGGAACTCCATAGGCCACTCCATAGGCCATTGTCATCCATTTTTCATGGCGATGTCGAACATTTCGGGAGGGCAAGTCATCAATATCCCATTCATATCCCATGAATATTCCATTCATATCCTCATTATGCCACCATTTAGTCACGCGTTTCTTTCAAAGTGGGTCACCTGGCTAGGATGAGGACCAAGGACATGTCACCAGCTGCTTGGTTTGGTGAGATGTGGTGAGAAAAACCTCCAGGATGCCTTGGAGGGGTCAAGTTCCTCAGGTTCTGAGTTGGTTTGTTGAGCGGCCTTGACGGCAAACGATGCCATGGATTGATTCAGTAATGGTACAAAAACGCTGGCGCTGGAGCATACCAGTGATCAGTATTCAGCCTACACAATTCTTTAGGCAGTTCTGCTGTTGAGTTGGTCAGAGAGTTGGAACAGCAGTGTCAAGCCCGATTTCTCCTGGTTGATCATGAGGGGGTCCCCAAGTAGTGATTTCATCAGCTACTACATGAAGACTTGAGATTCATTATATTCATGTGACAATCAGTGACACTAGTGGTGCTATGGGATGTAATAGATATGTAATGTGCATAATCTTGGTAAAACATAAGAACATCACCACCTGGAATCATGGTTGGGATTAGGGGTGCGCAAATTTAAGATTAATGAATTGTTATATATTGATTACTACATGTAATATATTATATATGCATATACTCGATTGATGTTGGTCATATCCACATGTTTACTGCCACAACATAACTGCTTTAGTTCGGTTCACAGCCTGTGAAATCCAACATCTGCGGTTGAAATTCCTCATTTGCTGGGTTAAGTGTATAGCAACCCCAAAGACATGGAGGAAAGTTGTAACTCTGATGTGAAATAGGTGATAAAGTTGACACTTACTATCTTCTTGAGGGGTTGCTGTATCCTAATTTTCAATGAGTAAATCAACATTTTGATCGGTCAAATCCCAATCTTCCATCATTTTTCCATGGTCAATCCAAGATTTTTAATGGTTCAACTGGTGAAAAACCACCATTTGTTCACCATGTTTATTGTTCTTCACCATTTTTCCATGGTAAACCGATCTAGGGATTTCCAGCATTTTTCGATGGCAAACAAATCTCGACACATCACTTAGGCTCTGATGCCGCTGCGTCGGATGTTGGGGCTCACGGTTGGTTGCGGGATGGATGGTGAAACAACAGGGGGTGACACATGGTGGATTCACCATGACTTGGTGTATGAACAATGGTGGTTTTTCACCATGAAAACTGGGGCAGATTTTGGTGCGAAAAAGCATCTCTGGATGGTGAAAAACATGGTGGTTTCAGTGTCAAAATTCGGGAAGAATGGTGATTTAAGCATGATGGATGAAGTATCAAACATGAGGAAAGATGGTGGTTTAAGTGTTAAGAATAGGGAATACTGGGGATGTTACCCATGAATTATTGTTATATTAATATATGAGTGTGAGTCTGTCTGAAAATGGGGTACACCCCAACATTGGCTGTTGTAATCGGTAACATGATCATCACTCAGTCGATGGAATGGGGTATACTATTTTCAAACAAACACATATCAGATTATTTGTAGAATATAGGAAAAATAGAAAGGTGGTTGAATTACGATTGGTAGTGGATCTTAAACAAGGGGCATACTTGTCACAACTTACAAGCCAGGCTTACAACGGGTATAACCAACCCTGGTGTAGTGTTTTTTCTAGCAATGGTTAACAGCAATGGTTAATATCAATGGTTGTTTATGACAGCAACCAATTGTGGCAATGGTTCTGGGTGAATTCGACATCACCATCGAGGAGGTTTCAGGTGCTGTGATGACAGTTGATAGAAAATATTGATAGAAAATGTCGAAACACCTCCGGGCCCTGGGTGTTTCTTGAAATGATCCAATCTTACCCATGCATGAGATGCTTCAAAGTGGTCAACTGGGATTCAGCCGCCACAAATCAGGCATGGGGAGGTGCACACTGGGGAAATATGAGAGGGTCAAGGTCCAAAAACCCAAAGATTAGAAGGCCTCTGTATCCGAAAATCCATGATTCCAGCATTCCAACAACCTTATTCTATGTTGAACACTCCATAAAGTCTTAGGGGGATTTCTGCAGGTTAAATGCTGGACACTTGCTTTTTGTCCATCCAGATATGACGCTGGGATAGCCGACCCAATACTGATGGCAGCTGAACGGTTGATTTTTCTTCCACCCGTTGGTGTCAAACGTTTTTTCCATAAAAGCCCCTTGATGATTGGAATGATTGGACCCATTTCTTGATAATCCCAGTAATTTCACAGAAATCTTGATGAATTTTTTGAAAGATCTCATTCCAAAGGTCCATTCCTACATCCAAATTATAATTGGTCGCGAGGAGCAGTTGGCCCCCATCTCCAAGCCCTGGGAATTTGATGGCACGAACAAACGGAAATTCAAGCTGACCACCAAGCAGCTGAGACGGATGTTTAGCCCCAGGACCGGGATGCCTGGGATAGGACTTTCGATGAGATTTGATCGGATCTGACATGTTTTTTTGGTTTTCTGGGCTGCAAAAAAAAGGCATCTGCTGGAAATGATGTTTTTTTAAATTTTCAGGATACCAAGCCGGGCCCACAGCTCTTTTTTTTCGTATACCCGGGGCTTTGGCCCAGGCTCATGTTTTTCATCCCATTGTATCCCCATGATATTCCCAGTTCTGGCAGTGTGTCAAAACCAATAGTACCCCTTTTTTGTTCACATCAAAATAGCTGGGATTTATGGTGAATAACCCACTAAAAATGGTATAGGTATTGATCCATAGCCATATCCATAATGTGTATTGAAGATACCCAGTACAGCTGGATTAGACATGTTGGATTTTCCGTCTCTCATGATTCCTGGCTCCTGCACATCCAAGCCGTTCCCCGTGTTTGCAACGGGTTACGTTGCATATCTTCCAGAATTAGTGCATGGTTTCTTGTGAATTTTCCGTCTCAAATCCTAGAATTGGATGGGTTCAAAGTTCAACTGGAATCCCCATATATCCCCATATCCTTGGTAAAAAACCCCATATCCTTGGTAAAAACCATGTAAAAACCATGGCTTCAACATTTTTCCATATTTTTCCTTTTGTTTCATCAGGAAATATCAATCCCTTGGTGCCAGGAAGCTCTCTGGGCACAACGCCACCAGCTCCCGCCGGAGCACAGCTCGAGCTTCCGACGAGCCGTGAGCTCAGTTTTTTGGGGGTTCCATGGATGAGAACGGGGACTGGGGGTCCCCTATGACTCAGGAAGCGTCCATTTTATATCCATTTGTAATGGGTAAATCCACTATAAATGGATATAAATGGCCATTTTCAATAGCGAACTGTTAGTTTACCAGAGGGTATCAAACAGAAAAATGTGTTGATTTCCGAAATGTCCGATTTGTGGGTACCCCTTGCATCATCCAGTCATCAACCATGACTTCGTATAGGTCAACAACCTGCAGTTGACGACTGGGGCTCCCTCATTGGTTTCCGCCATGCACGAGAAACCATTTAAGTGCTGGGAATTGCTCGCCATGGTTTGATTTCCAGAGGGCATGGTATGCCCTTGGGCATGTTCATTCACAACTCTTTGTGCATTTGTGTTTTACATTTCCCTTGCAATGTTCACTTTTCACCTCTGAGCCATTTCACGTTTGATTTTTAGATGAGTTGTGGATTTATTTTCAGAAAATGATCGGAAAACACGGTCAATACAGGGTGAACATTTCAAAGCATTTAGTGGTAAACTATGGTAAAGTCCCATGAAATTCACGTGACATGAGGGGAACAAAACAAAAAAATGGGTTCGCTGTGGGTCTTGTCATCTCTAGGTTGACAGAGGACTTTGACCACGAAGAGCTAAGTTCCTTCACCAGTGAGGTGAAAGGGTGCGGGGGGCTGGAATAAGGGATATGATTGATATGATATAACTAATACTAGCTATAGTTAATGGGTTTATGGTGAGAGAGATGTATATACTGTATATATATAGTTTATATACAATGATAAATAGTTACTAACTATGGTTTTGAACTATGTTTACAAACTAATGTGGGCAAGACTGGCTGCCACAAAACAACTACCATGAATGGGGATGGTTGGAATCCCATCCATGCCACCCATAAACATGGTGACGGAATGGGGATGCTGACTATGGCAGCTGGTGGCATCATGGGATCTCATGGGGATATTCTGAGGATCATCCGGGTAAATGACGTCAGGACGTCACTCGGACGTCGGGCAAATGATTGGTGAATGTAAGGAGAACTATCCCAGAAGAAGGCCGAACTTTTCAAGTAGGTGAGTGATTGTAATTTCAGCCAGAATGGTGATCGGGGATGACTATATGATGATATATCATAGGGATATTGCTGTACTGTGCATATATACGTATATAGTTATATAAATAACACCAAGCAACTAGAGATTCGGTGTACTATAATGACCCAACAAGAACTAGAAACACTTTTGTTGACATTCTTTAAGCATTTTGTTGGGCTGGGAAACTTGAGTATACTGTATAACGAACCCCAAAATAGGGGTCTGGCTAGAAAAAACGATTTAACGCGGACTCAACATTTAAGGACCCATAGAATCCCTTTGTTTAGAAACACCATATGTTTCCTTACGAAAGTGGAGATAGTAATTCTTTTTTATCCTCCATTTCGAGCAATTTCGAGCAAGCAACATTTGTAGGATTTGACTACCATGCCATGTGGATTTAACAACATATTCTCATGTGTCTATCTTGGACCAACAGTGTGTACCCTAAACGACTCTTGCCATTTGATGCATTTTCTTGCCATTTGATACATTTTTTTTTGCAGAAAGCTTAGGGCAAAGAAGAGTTTGTGTTGAAACGGTCAACATCACATCGCTGCTAATGATCGCTCCAACTTTTCTTTCTGCCGTAGGGTTGTCTGAAGGGCCGTGTCTGGCAGGACAACGACGAGTGGATAGAAGAGGCCCTTCTGCTGAAACCGTGGGGGCATCAGGATTATCCTCAACTTTGGGTAATCCATGGCAATCCCATCCCCCTGTTAGGAAAAACACTCCCAGTATCAACCATGATCCAATGCAGGGAATGACATACTTGGGGCCATACAATGGGGGGATAGGATTTCCATCCCTCCAAGATAATGACCCTTTCATGAGTTGCAGTTGTACATTGGAAGACTACCTTCCTCTCAACACGTGGTTCGAAAAAGGTCCCCCGCTGTTCGGGGGGATGGTCATATTCTCCCGAGTTCTGACACCACGCTGGGAATCCTTGTGCAAAGGGGCAGCCAGATTCTTGAGCAATTTTTCCATGGTTGGCAGTCTCAGATCCGCATTTTGGACTGGGAAACTTGTCGATTTTCAGTTGAAACTAGTGCATTTCACCTTTAAACTTGGGGACATTGGTCGATTTTCACGTGGCGAACGTTCACATGTCGCTCCGTGGCCGCCAGTTCGTTCAAGCACCTGAACGACGAGATTCCTGGAAGGCTCCTGGTAGCCTTGAGGAGCAAAGACTTCTCAGGGTCACGAATGATGACCTCCAGGACCATGGGATGAACCTACGGGAACTGGATGGCCCTGGATGGCTGTGATTTTCACCAACATATTCCATCCCAAACATTCCCTATATATAAAGAGGCTCAACGGTCTGTTGTAAGGTTTTGTTCGGGCCCTGATAGAAAAACAACTTGGTTGTTCACCCTATAAACTTGAGAAGCCAGGAGGAAAAACTGCATGGCTCGTGCACGTTAGCATGAACATGCATGAACTGTCAGAGACAGGACTAGTCCAAGCAACAATCTAACACCAACAAACAGGGTAGGTGTTGTGTGTGAGGATATGCTTGCGGGTCACATTTGCCTTTTTGACATGATACCGAGGATACAATGGACCCCAAAAAAGCATTGACATATGGGGAAGATAACACTCTCGAATATTTATAGCTTTTTGGTGAGAGGGCCTGGCCCAAAGTCAGGGAATTTCACCAAATATCCAGAGGGAATCAGCACCCTTCAATCATTTGTTTTGGCTCCAAGATCCCTTAAAACAGCAACATTTTGAGTGATTTTTCCCAGCCAATCCAGCCCAGACCTGCAGGAAGCGTGTCTACGAGGTGACCTGGGATTAGTCAAGCGGCTGATTGCGGCAAATGCCTCTGTTACTCGGAAAAAGATGGGTGTGGGGCGATGAATTCACTTTTTGAAGCTCCTTAAAAGATGGAATTGTGTAAAATGCGATGACAATTGTGGTCAATTGAAAAAAATCCGTTTTTTTTTTTTTTTTCTAGGCTGCTATATATACCCTTAACATGAGTTGATCTCGGGAAGGCTAAGACCTTGGAGCTACATTTTTATGGCCAGGGGATGCCATGCTGCGTGAAAAGAGTCATGGGATAGCCCGAAGTGGCTGAAAGAGCCGGGAGTTCTTTCTGGTGAGAAAAAGGGCTTCAAGGAATCTTCTGAAGCCCCAATTTGTCGCATTTTGAACTTGATTTGGTCAGCTCTTCAAATGTTCAGTACCAGCAACGGACTTTCGCCTGTACAATTGTAGACCCCTCTTGTGATCAAACCGGGCAACGAGAATATTGTCCATTTATACATAACTCATCAATACTCATCATAAATTAAAAATGACAGATGCACATCTATTCTTCCAACCGCGAATTCTCTTGCCATGTTTTTCCTTGTTTTCCTTTCACCTTGCCGGTTTACCAGAGGGCATATCCCAAGTAAAATCAATGTGAATTCCTTGATGCTTGAAATCCGGTTTTATTTGGTGGCGAAATCTCAAGTTTAATGTTTGATTGGTGTTCCCTGAACTTTCGTTGCTAGGTCAATGCCCCGATGCGTCCACAAGATGCGAAGGAGTTTATGACCCTGCGGGGCGCCTCGTGAAGGGAGCCTTTGGGGATGGGGAGCTCCATTTTTGGTTGTTGAAAACAGCCTGGGTATGGCCTGGCTGTTTGTTTTGGGGTCGACAAAATGTGGGTTTTTCCATATTTTTTCGGTCTGAGGTTGCACGTCTTGGCCAGGAAGCCGCATATGTGTCAATCTCAGCCCGGGCAGATCCCAGGAAACTTGTGATTTTTTCACCCAGGATTGCGAAGCCATGCGTTGCTGAAAATCACGGAGGAAAGCACGACCTCAGGCAGAATTGCAGCAGCATCATTGCCGAGATGGTGAGAAACAAGGCAAATCTCAACGTCAGGAGCGCTGCTGGTTGCAGGTGCTCTGTTGACAAGGCAAATCTCGGTGTTAAAGCATCGTTCCGCCTCAAAATCATCACTTCTGATGACGGCAGAAAATTGATGAACGCGATGGATGTCAGCCCTAAAACAACATACTTTCATGGCTTCTATTTTCGTCGCTTTTTTTATTCTGGTCGGTCGGACCGGTGGGATAAAATTCTTTCCCAAAGGAGCAGCTTTGGCACCACACCTCTGAGTCTGGCCTGCCATGCCAAGCACGTGGAAGCGGTGGAGGCTCCAACAACTTTCGGAGGGAGGCGGTGTGGAGCCATGGCCATTTTCAGCCAAGGAGCTATAGCAAGAGGTAATCTTAACCACATGATGGACAACTTATTCATCAAAATACAGGATCGAAAACCAAAGTTAACAACCACTCAAAAAAAAAGTGTGGTCCCGAAAAGGGTGGAGAATTGAAATTTCTCGACTGAAGTATAGAAGGGACATTTTCCAGTAAGCTGGCAAGACCAACTGCTATATCATTTTGGGGCCTCAAAAATCATGAACTGCCTATGGTCTCGCCATGGGGAAATCCATTGCAAAGAATCATCTTTATGGATCTTTATGGAGACATTACCAGGTTAGATTGGGCAAATTTTAGCAGAGTTGAATTTTTTATTGCCCATAGTGAAACTGTGTTTTTTTCGTTTGGCACGCCGTGAAACCACTTGGAACGGAGGTGCTACTGAGAGCAAAGGCCAGTGCTGAACCTGTGGATGACTTCGGGCGGAAGGTTGGGGTGGTGAGTCCCGTTGTTTTTTTTTTTGAGTCGGGGATGGGTCTAAAGCCTATAAAAACATGGAGGTCTCAATGGAAAAATCATCTCTAAATGCTGGGAGGATGGGATTGATGGGAAACGGAGATTGGGAAGATCTTCCCAGCTGGGACGATCACCCCCACTGGATCTTGGATTTCGACCATTTTTCAGGGAAATTCATGGCCGAAATCCAAGAGCGTGCATCAATCATTTTCCCGAACATATCGTGAGTTTCAGTACCATATTGCCATATTCTCCATGAAAATCACATGGAAATACCATGAAAGTACCATAACAATCACAAAAAATAATCCTCTCACCATGGCTAATCCTCTCAAATCCGCCTTGTTGATCTGTTGATCCTAAATCATATCATTTATTTACACTCCAAATCTCATGTTTGCATGCCATGATGTCATAGCAGCCATCTGTTCGCCATCTGTTCGCTTTCCAGGCGCCGCTCTATGCCATTTTGCCTCCCTGGGATGGTTCTTTGGTGGACAACACCGAGGAGGCGACCAAAATCGCGATTTCGAAGTGGTGGTGACTGGAACCATCGAATTTTATGACTTTCCGAAATCCATTGGGAATTTCATCATCCCAACTGACGAACTCCATGAACTGACGAACTCCATGATTTTTCAGAGGTTGAAACCACCGATTTCGAAGTGATAGTTTAACGAGTGAACCAGATGATAAGAAAGCGTACCTGGAGCAAATGTGGCGGTACGGATGTTGGTTTGGTTTCAGGTAGATTTCCTATTCATTTCCCAGATCAAATTGGTTAATACTGGTTTAGAATGGTTTCGAACTTTAGTAATCTTTTTCGTGATTTTCATGTGATTTCTTAGTGATTGATCGTGCACATGTTTATTTGCCTGTCAACCAACATTAAGCCCGATTTGATTCCACTGTGAGTCTTAATCATCCCCTTTTTAGATGGGTGTCTGCCCATTCAATCCTGACACGGGTTGGTACAAGGTTTCATCAGGATTTAACGAAGCAATCATCGGGATGTAATAGTGATACAATGGTGATGTCATGTGGATGCAATGGGGATATTTGAGTATATTTGAGTCATATCCATGATTTTCTCATTTTTTTTCCAGGTGGTGCCCCACTCTAAAAGTCAGCTAAGTTGGTTCAAACATATTTAGCTTAACTAGGATTTATGGCAGATTTATGGCAGAAGTCTCGAGCTACTGAATGGGTCCATGGGTCAAACCCCCAAATCTCTGGCGATTTTCCCATCAAGGCCCGCCTTTTTTAGATCGGTCACCGATGATGCTGTTCCCAAACGGATCACTGAATCGTCACTGCCATTGTTTCGAAGCTTTGGTAAACGTTGACAGTTTGCGAACTGGAAAGATCCACCATGTTTTTAATGGGTAAATCTCCAGGATTTGGGCCATTTTCCAGTTCGCAAACTGTGAATGTCATTATAACATTCAGAAAGTTCGTTGATTTACCCAGCTATAAATGGTGGATCTTTCCATAGAAATTGTTGATTTACCAGAGGCTAACTGGCACATCTCATGGGATCAAAGCTGTCCCGTTGCGGAATCGCCAGAACCTCACGGTGAAGACCGTGCAATTGTTGGCACGCGCACGTCAGGGCCCGGGGATGGCAGCTTCTGCTGGATTTCCAAAATGGATGGTTTATATATGTTTATATTGGAGAATCCTATGAAAATTGCTCATTTGGGGGTACTATTTTCGGAAACCCTCATTTGTTGCGTTGTTTTTTCCACTTGAAGAACAAGGACAGTTTGGGTATTGACTTGAGCCAGGCTGGGCAGAACACTCGCAACGGATCATCGATGTTCATCCGGTATAAATATGGAAATTCCACCATGAATACCCTGAAATATTCAGCACACCCCAAATGGTATGTTGTTTTTTCCTCGTTTTTTCCTGAATGTGTCGCGAAGGATTCTCATTTTACTTTGGGGGTCTGGGGAAGCACCTCATTGTCGGAGCACTTTTGGACGTTGAGCTGTTGAAAAAGTGTACGCTGCCGCATTTCGAAATGTACAAAACACCAGCTCCGGAGCACTTTTGGACGTTGATGTTGAAAAAGTCCACGCCGTTGTGGCGCGAAGCATATTTCGAAGTCAAAATGTACAAACCATGTACAAACACACCATTCCCGGAGCACTTTGGGAAGTTGAGATGTCAAAAAAGTGTATGTCGATGTGGTGCGAGGCACATTTCCAGGTCAACATGGAAAAAACACATGTTCGGACCACTTTTGGACATTCAACCGCACCACACCACACAACCACAACCACAACCACAACAACAACAGCAACAACAGCAACAGCAACAGCTAACAGCTTCAAGTACCACTGCGCTACACTACACTACAACTACAATTACACAACAACTACAACTACACTGCGCTACACTACTTGCAGCACAGTACACTGCGCTACACTACACTACGCTACACTACAATTACAACTACAACTACAGCTACACTACACTCCATTGTGCTACACTACCACAACAACAACAACTAGTATTGCTACTACTACTACTGCTGCTGCTGCTGCTACTGCGGCTGCTACTGCTACTGCTACTGCTACTACTACTACTACAACAACAACAACTACTAATACAGACACGGCTACTGATACAGACACAACTACAACTACCAGTACAAGAACCATTACAACAACCATTACAACTACCACTGCAGCTACCACTACAACTACCACTAGAACTGCCACTAGAACTACCACTAGAACTACCACTAGAACTACCACTAGAACTACAGCTGCCACTGCAACTACCACTACAACTACCACGGCAACTACCACGGCAACTACCACGACAAGTACCACTACAACTACCGCTACATTACATTGCAGCTATAGCAACAACAATAAGAACTGCAGCAGCAACTACAACTACGACAACAACAACGACAACTACTGCAACTACAGCTGCAACTACGATTACAACGACCACAACAACTACAACTACACCACACCACACTACACTACCCTACGCTACCGCTGCCACTACACCACACTACAACTAGAACTACAACTGCCACTGCAACTGCAACTGCAGCTACGCTACACTACAGCTTAACTACATTACACCACATTGCACTACATTACGGTACACTAGAAGTACCAGTACCATTGTCACTACCACTGCCACTGCCACTGAAACTGCACTACGCTACGCTACACTACGCTACACTACACTACACCACACTCCACCACAAACTAGAACTAGAACTAAAAGTACAACTACATCCGCTACTACAACTACAAGAGCAACTACCACTACCACTACAGCTACAGCTGCATGTACAGCTACAACCGCAACTGCCACTACACTTCACTACGCTACACAAGGCTACAGCTACACTACACTACAGCTACAACTACAACTACAGTACGCTACACCACACTACATCAAGCTGTTGTGGGTAAGGTGACCAATGCAACCACTCGAAATAGCACAGCTCCAACAACCTTCGGTCCATTAGTGGATTCGCACTGCCATCCATGCATCACAACAACTCACCTCTCGTATAGTTTCCTCTCTCTGGAACTTCCGCCACCACCTTGTGCAGCACTACACACTACATCCCCTTTCAGCATTGTCTTCGCACTCCACACTCTGCACCCCACCCCGTTCCACACTCCACAGTCTACACTGGTACTGTAACAAGGGGAAGAATGTACAAAATTGTTGAAATAACCTGGTTCACAAGCGTGTTTCACGTGACAGCATTCGGGTTCGTTGCTTGCTTGTTTTGTATTATGGGGATGGGAATAGATCTTTTTCCGAACGCATCAGGGAATTCGATAGTTTTATGAAGCAGTCTACCTGGGTGTGTCATCATTGTTCCCATCCATAGCAGGGCTCGCCCAGGCACCAATTTGGATGATGGTGGCACACATGCACCTATAGTGGAAGCAGTGTCACATCCTCAGGGGTGGCGCAGCTGTGTTGCAACGTCTTGGAAAACCGTGTGTAGCTAAGGGCACCCAAGGATAGCGAAGGAATGGATGCTTTGGTGGTCCGAACAGTTTGGAATCTGAGCTCAGCACTGGAACCCAATGGGTGAAATGTTCCACCCTTAGAGTCACAGATCCTGCAAGGTTTCTTTGGACAAATTTGATACGAGATACGGACAGATATGTTGGTTTCTCAGCAATATGGACCCTGAAATGAAATATGAAGTACTGTACCCCTTAAATCGCACCTCTGGTTGATTTTCAGCTAGAGACAACTACGCACATGACGCCCTGCAAGCAGACTCCGTAGCGATTTCCCACAGCTCTTCGGCCATGTCGAAAGCGCTGGAGCGTGTGCAAAATGCCTTGAAGGCGGACGAGCAGAGACACGCTGTCCGATTGAAAGTCGGTGCCAAGGCCGTGGGATGTGTCGGATATGTGGGGTATACCCCCAATATAGCACTTAAATATACAGAAAATGCCGATAAACCATTGGATTTAGAGGTACCTGAGGTACCCAATCTCCCTATCTTTAGACAAAACCAAATATGAATTTGATGTGGATCTAATAGCAAACGATATACAGTATACCCAATCCCTGGCCATTTTGTTGTAAACCAAACGCTCAACTGGGAATATGATCGGATTTAACAATGGGAAATCCAGATTTTCAATGGAAAAATCATCGACGTGTCAGGGATTTCCATTGCCACGTGAGATTTTCGGACAGGGTCTGCCCAGGGAGGGTGGAAGTAGGAGAGACTCACAAAGTTTTGTTTTTTTTCAATGGATGTGACAGAGAGGCCATTCACAACTTGTCTGGTTGGTGGTTTGGAACATTTTTTATTTTTCCATTCAGTTGGGAATTTCATCATCCCAACTGACTTTCACTCCATCATTTTTCAGAGGGGTAGGTCAACCACCAACCAGTTGTCCGCCATTTCTCATCCATTTCCACTTCCAAAGACCATCCCAGAGACAAATCAGCAAGATGTGCAGCCCCATCCCCTCCTCACATTCTCAGATTAGTGGTGCCCAGCTGGATCAGCTCTACATCCCGTTTTTTTTGTGCGAAAAAAACATAATTTTTTGCTGGTGATTTGTTCTAAAAGAGCACCAGCTCTTTTTGAAAAAATGCCAGGTGGATAGCCGCAACCTGGGTTTGCTACTGGATGATTTGGGCGATTTTCGTCCTGATGTGAAGAGGGGTGAGTTCAAAAAGATGGTCCACCGCATGTTGGTCGTCAATCGGTGCCTCTGCTTGAAATTTACCGCGTGAAATCAACCATGAAACCGCAGATATCGGAGATTTTTCACTGGAATTTCAGCATGAAAAATCTGGGGACTGGGAATGATCCATCTGGATTTTCATGGACATCACGAGACATTTTCCGGAGCGGAATCATGGCGAATGCCCAGGAGAATCAGTGGAGATGTTGGAAGATTGCGATTGTCATGAGATACATCTGGCATCATCTGGCAATCTAAGTATTTAGCTATGGAAAAGCACATGTGTAAATATTGTAAATCATCTAGAAACGGGCCACTTTTCATCGCCATCTTAGATTACTAGAGGGTAGTAAGATCATCCCCAAAATATTGAAACAAGAGGATGATACCCCTTAAACTTTCGTATTTCCCCACCTGCCAGGTGAGGGTTGTTAGATTTTATCTAAGTTGCCTCCTCCTCCTCCTCCTCTCCTCCTCTCCTCCTCCTCTCGTCGTCCTCCTCCTCTCGTTGTCCTCCTCCTCTCGTTGTCCTCCTCGTCTCGTTGTCCTCCTCGTCCTCCTGCTCAACTGCGACTCGCGATCCACAGTGTTCGCTGCCGGACCTCAACCACGACCATCCACGCCCAGTGTTCCCTGCCGGACCTCAACCACGACCATCCACGCCCAGTGTTCCCTGCCGGACCTCAACCACGACCATCCCCGCCCAGTGTTCCCTGCCGGACCTCAACCACGACCATCCACGCCCAGTGTTCCCTGCCGGACCTCAACCGCGAGTATCCACGCCAAGTGTTCCCTGCCGGACCTCATGTAGGAAGATATGGGACAAAGAATGTGCAGAAGAAAGTTAGAAAGAATGTCAGAAAGAATGTCAGAAGATATGCCAGAAGATATGCCAGAAGATAGAATGCCAAATAGAATGCCAGATAGAATGCCAGAAGATATGTCAGAATATATGCCAGAAGATATGCCAGATAGAATGCCAGATAGAATGCCAGAAGATTTGCCAGATAGAATGCCAGAAAATATGCCAGAAGATATGCCAGATAGATATGCCAGAAGATATGCCAGAAGATATGCCAGAAGATATGCCAGATATAATGCCAGAAGATATGTCAGATATATGCCAGAAGATATGCCAGATAGAATGCCAGATAGAATCCAGAATATGCAGATAGCCAGAAGATATGCCAGATAGAATGCCAGAAGATAGATAGAATGCCAGAAGATATGCCAGATGCCAGAAGATATGCCAGAAGATAGCCAGAAGAATGCCAGAAGATATGTCAGAATATATGCCAGAAGATATGTCAGATAGAATGCCAGAAGATATGCCAGAATATATGCCAGAAGATATGCCAGATAGAATGCCAGATAGAATGCCAGAAGATATGTCAGATAGAATTCCAGAAGATATGCCAGATAGAATGCCAGAAGATTTGCCAGATAGAATGCCAGAAGATATGCCAGAAGATATGCCAGAAGATATGCCAGAAGATATGCCAGATAGAATGCTAGATAGAATGCCAGAAGATATGTCAGAATATATGCCAGAAGATATGCCAGAAGATATGTCAGATAGAACGCCAGAAGATATGCCAGATGAATGCCAGAAGAATTTGCCAGATAGAATGCCAGATTGGAATGCCAGAAGCTATGTCAGATAGAATCCAGATTGAATGCCAGAAGATTTTGCCAGATAGAATGCCAGAAAATATGCCAGAATATATGTCAGATAGAATGCCATAGATATGCCAGATAGATATGCCAGATAGAATGCCAGATTGAATGCCAGAAGATATGTCAGATAGAGTGCCAGAAGATATGCCAGAAGATATGCCAGAAGATATGCCAGATCATATGCCAGAAGATATGCCAGATAGAATGCCAAATAGAATGTCAGAAGATATGTCAGATAGAATGCCAGAAGATTTGCCAGTAAGAAAATGTATAAATGTCATGGTGGGGATCACACGAAGTAAAGTAATTTTAGATGTCTTTAAACCACCAACCAGATGACAGTTGCTTGGGGCCCCGGCGAATTCTTCTTTTTCATGAGACCCCAACAATCAGAACAGCCTGCACAAATCAGTGGACAGGAAGACCCCAAGATTTGATGGGAAAAAATGATGGTTTCAACCAGCTATCCCGTTATCCCTATTTTTTCCTTCAACCCTTATCCTCGTAAGGTTTTCATGCGCAGAAGTTTGAGGTCTTTGAAGGTAGGAGTCAAGCGCAGCAACTTGAAGGAATGGCACGGGCTCAGCAAGTTCAGGTCGCGCACGGGGAAAGCGACCTGTGATCGGGATGAGTGCAGGGCAAGAAATATGGGAATATCATGGGGGTACAATTGGGATGGACTAGAATGGGACACAATGGGTATATATCTGACAATTCTGGTCCAATCTTGGCTGAGTAGTTGCTAACGCCGTGGCCGGTGGCCTGTGCGTTTTGGGTGATTGTCGTGATTTCTATAAATATAAATATGTTTATATATTTATATATATATATATACATATACATACGGGGTGGGTTGGGGTGGGGGGGAGATGTTAACGTTCTCACGACCGCGTCATTGATGCTACGTTGACAACATATTGAAGTAACTTGTATATATATATATATTATGGTGGGTTGCGGTGGGGTGGGAAGATGTTCACGTTCTTACGGCCACGTCCTTGATGCTACGTTGATAACATGTTTAAGTAACTTGTATATATATATATATAGACAAATACATAAATAAATAAAAAATAACTATATATATAATTATATATATATGGGTGGGGTTGGGGTGGGGTGGGAGGGCATGTTTGCGTTCTTACGACCACGTCGTTGATGCTACGTTGATAACATGTTGAAGTAACTTGTATGTATGTATATATATATGGGGTGGGTTGCGGTGGGGTGGGGGGGATGTTAACGTTCTTATGACCACGGCCTTGAATGCTACGTTGACAACATGTTGAGGTAACTTGGAAGACGCTCTTGATGCTAGGTTGACAACATGTTGAAGTAACTTGAAGACGCTCTTGATGGTACGTTGATGACATTTTGAAGTAACTTGGAAGACGCTCTTGATGGTATGTTGATAACATGTTGAAGTAACTTGGAAGATGGTACGTTGATGACATTTTGAAGTAACTTGGAAGATGCTCTTGATGGTATGTTGATGACATTTTGAAGTAACTTGGAAGACGCTCTTGATGGTATGTTGATAACATGTTGAAGTAGCTTGGAAGACGCTTTTGATGCTACGTTGATAGCATGTATTTATATGCCTGAAAAGGTGGCTTCCAAGGCAGTTGATCTTTTCAGAAAAGTCCAAAGGGCATAGCGTGGTCAACCCTGAGCTGTGGCTGTGGAGGCGGAACAAACATGTGAATGACAAATTCACACCTGCACAAACGTGTAAAGAAATGGCACAAAATTGCAAATGGTGACCATGAAGGATAAAAATGACGCCGCCGCCCACAGGCCACCCGTCACGGCGTAACCTAGTTTCATACAACTTACATCATCTTTGGCAAATTTGATGGGGATATTTACCTCACCCGTTTTTTTGGTAGGATAGCGGGTTTGCCAGCCAAAATGGGGAGGCCACCATCAAAAATATGGATTTTTAAGTGATCGGACCCATGAAGAACGGACATTGTTTTTATTCCACTTTCTTTGCAGGGAACGTGATGACAGATGGGATTTGGGGATGGGCGTATTCTTTGGGTACATTCAGAAAAAGATCATGGCGCTTAGCCCCAGATGCAACCCTTCGTTTGTGACTTCCAAAAACATGGCAAGTCAGGATTTTTGGAGGTACAAATGAATGAGTTTGGAACCGTGGCCCCTCAAAAAGGATGGTTTCAGACCACGCCAAAACCACGGCATTTGTGGGTCCGAAATGGTACTCTAATCTTCACCCGTTTTTCCAGTTTTTCCCCATGGAAATGCAGCACCTGGTCCCAGCATTGCAGGGACCATTTCCAGAAGCCCCCCCAAAAAAGGCTGGTCAATCCCATAACTTTTCGATGGTAGCTTGGATACCGGTTCCACTTAGTTCCACTAGTTTTTCCACTTGGTTCAATGGGAATTTCAGGATCCTTTGATATGGAGTACTGTACCATATAAGGCCATGTTTTGTGGGGATATTCCCTGAAATTTAGGCCTCAAACATTTTCGGCCAAAAATATATGGTATATCGGTACCTCCGTCCTCAATCGGATCCTGAAGATCTCCCATTTTTTTTGGGTTTTCCACTGAGTTCCCAATGGCAGGCCTGCAGCGGATGAGGATCATAAGGCCTTTATCTCCGGCATCCTGAATAACTTTCAACTCATGGCGAGGTTCACGCGCTTCCTGCGGCCACCCGGTTGGCGATGTTGGATTGCAGAGGGAAATCGACCTGTAGGGATCCACAAGGATCGTGTTTTTTTTGATTAACAACCAGACCTTTATTATATATCACTTAATCCATTTATATATGATTATATATGTATATTTTATATAGATATATAAAATGATATATATATATTATATGATTTTAAGCATGGTTATATATAATCCATTCAAAGATGGGACAACCCACGCCTTAGAGGACTTAAAAATAAGGCACAGCCATTCACCATGAAAAATCAGTGGGATTTCCCATCTTTTCCCATGCGGGCCCTAGTGAGTAAATAGGTCGACCACTTAGACGGGTCATCATCCCCCATTCTATGGGATGAAATTCCCAAAAAAACCCTCCCAATCTCAGGCAAAGCCAAGATTTTTTCCAGAAGGCCGAAGAGGTGGTGCGGGGTGACGATGTGACGATGTTGGTCCCCAGTCATATGGTAATGTCATAGATCCAGGGACCCATCTCCATATAGTATATGGTAGATAGTATATAGTATATAGTAGATGGTAGATGGTATGTAGTATATAGTCTATAGTATATAGTCTATAGTATATATATATAATCTGGTAAACCCAACAATAAGAGAAACAAAGATAAACATTACTATCCAGTGGTGGAGGGAGCGGTGAAGGAAACTACAAAGAGAGTTTCCCAACCACACGATAGTCAAAAGTTTATCTCTACTTTTGACCTGGATGACAATCTGGAATGTTTGAGCTGAACAAAACCAACCAGTAAATATTTTTTTTTTGAAGGCAGCATTTTTGGTTGGACATGAGATCGATCTGTGGGAAAATCATCATCCTATCGATCTTGAACCTATAATCCATGTATCTCCAAAATGCGGACCCCCCTATGGCTTATCATTTTCCTTTTATCATTGCAATTGCTTGGCAGCATATCTTCTTTTGGAATCATTCCAAACATGGAAACAAACAGTCCTGTCAATGTGGTGCCCCCCAATATTAGTTGCGTTACAAAGCCTCCATGAACAAAATCGATATACTTTCCAGAAACCCAACAGTGAGCCTTGTGAGTTCAACTAACTTAGCAAGCTATTTCCATGATTCAGGAGTAGACATCCCTATCTTTGATGCTCAAGCAACCCGTTCTTTCACCATTTTCCTGCATCATTTTTTTTGCTTCACCAATCCTTGGTCCTTGGCGCATGGAAAACCACCACAGCCATAGCCGTGAGAAATTTCATGTCCCATAGTGCCAGAGTGCGATAAAACGACAGCCGTTCGCGATCCGTTCGTTCCAGGAGTACCTGGCCAGTGGCAGACCCATAGGGCCTTCGGAGTTTCTGAATCTCATGGCGCAGAAGCTCCATGAGGCGAAAATCAGCACAGCGCACCTTTGCAGCTTGGCTGGAGCAATCCAGAGTGGCGAGCCACTGCTAGATGAAGCCTGGGAAAAGACAGCGATATCATGTTATATATAAATTGTATACACGTACATATATGGACATATCCCATATATATATATCCCATATATATATATACATATGTATGTGTGGGTGATTAACCACTTTGTAACTGGGTCATAGGAAAAACTCGGGTTTTTGTTCCCCCCATTTCTGGGATATCCCACGTGACCTCTGCTGGTTGCTCGTATTCTGAACGCTGAGGAATAAAACATCTGGAAAAAACATTGCCGCAACCATGGAGAGTTTTACCAGATGCAAACAGTTTTTTTTTTGAGTTCGATGATTGAATATAAACATATAAAGTTATAAAGTTACTAATGTTATACCAGATATAAAGTTACTGCTAATAAGTTATAAACAGTATATAAGTTCGATGATTTTTGTGATGTCGGGGATGAGTCGCTATGACATGGTGCATCCCAGTGGATCCACATCAACCTGTTTTTGGGCCATGGAATTTTGGCCCCAAATCCTGCAACGCCCAAGAACCGATGGCTGTTGCGCATGTGCAATAAAGGCCCTGTGATTTTGCAGGCGTATAGCTATATATCTATCCACCTATGTATCTATCTATCTATCTATCTGTCTATCTATCTATCTATCTATCTATCTATGGATCTATCAATCTATTTCTTGATCATCCGTTCATGCTTTCATCCATCCATCCATTCGAGATAAATATGTTTGTTGGTTGATAAACCCTGATTTTGGTGAGGTGCTTCTGTACTCTGGACGAAGCCCAGAATTTGTTGGTCGTATGATCACTTCCATCCCTATGTTTGATTGGCTGCATCAATACATTCCCATATTAATTCCCTTCAATGTGAGACATCTTCCCAACTAGCAAGAGATTACTTGAAGCATCTTGAAGCTATATCTTTGTTGGTTTCTGTGACATCTCTGCTAGTTGGTGATAAACATCACAGAAATCATCCGTTTCAACCGCCGCGGCTCCTCCCTTCGAGCTGCCCAGACCGCCCAGGCTGGCACGAAGTAGTGAAGCCCTTGAGGACGCACTCGACCAATCAGCAGATCGGTGCCTCGGCAGCTGGTGTCGATGCGTTTCGTTTTGTTCCGTGAAACGTCATGAAACGTCGAAGTTCGGGTTAGATTCGGTTAGATCTAGAAATGGTGGGTTAAACCATGTTAGGTTAGATCTAGAATTGGTGGGTTAAACTGTTTTAACCGGTTAAACTTTCCACATCTGGAAGACCTTCTCGTTGCGATCTGAATCTGCCAATGGGATGATGATCCCACAGGTTGAAACTGCCAGTTAATGGCGACCCTCTGGTTGCGTGATATCTTTTCTCGTTTGGTTCTCACCTTTTTGTTGGCCACTGAAAATATCCAAAAAATGCTGGGCACAGTTTGATGGACAGGCTACACTGTTTGTTGGTCAAACCAAGCATGTTTGAGTTCTTGGCATGTTGGTCCAGTCCGCATTTGGTACCCTCTGGTAATTTAACAGCTTGCTATTGAACATGGCCCATTTAGAAATCGTGGATTTACCCATTGAAGATGGTGATTTTCCATACTTTTTCCATGGAACATCACCATGTTTACTGGGTAAATCCACTATTTCTATGGCCATTTTCCATCGTTTTTTGTATGTTTACCACATTTATAGTGGATTTACCCATGGAAAATGGTGATTTTCCAGTTCGCAAAGTGTATGTTTACCAGGCCGGGTAAATCGTTAGCTGTGTGACTTTGACCACTCCAGATCTCTCCATTTTTTCGTTGGTTACCCTCTGGTTATGACTAACATAGCCATGGAAAATCCCCACCATAAATGGAGGTTTCTAGCTTGGAAAATCATCTGTAAATGGGCCATCTATACCATGGCTATGTTAAATAACCAGAGGGTATTTCCATGGAAAGATCCACCATCTTCAATGGGAAAACTATGAATTTAACCATGAGATATTTAACCATAGTAATTTCCACTGGAATTTGGGAAAACATCTGATTAATTCTGATTCACTCTCATAAATCCATGTCCCCTTGATTCAACATCTAAAGTGCTTGTATTTCCACTCTCATTTCACCATCTGATTGCATCTTCGTGAGGAATCAACACGCTGAAGAGTCAGCTCAAGCAGCTCCGAAGTGACTACCTGAAGGACGTCCCTGGTGGATTTGAGAAAAAACGGGGATTTAAGCTTCAAAAAAACAGGAGCTCCAGAAAAGATAGAACAGTCATTAGCAAAAGTCACGTGTTTTTTTTGTTACAAGCCGTGGGCTTGTACTTTTCGATCTTTTCGGTTGCCAAAAAAGGGATTAAAGTCAATGGAGGGTATAGGGCCATTTTGGGGTGGAGCATATCTGAATATAACCACAGCGGTGCTTAAGCATGACGAATCAGCTTTTTTTTTTTCGGATGAGGGACTTGAAGCCGTATGCTGATTGTCAGCAACACAATATGGGGACTTGCAGCAAAAAGCCATGGGACTTCGCCTGGAAACATGCCGACTCCTTTAGGTTCCCGCATCCGAAGATCGGGTTCTTCCACCATTTCCAGGGAGTGAATGCATTATATATATATATGTATATTGCGAAGCAGCCTCGCTTCAACAGCAGCCACCAGCAGCAACGCCTCTGCTGCTTTTCCCACCAATGGCTCAATCCGCACCGCTGCCCACCGCTGGAGGTGAACCAATAGTTGCGGCCAAGGTGCAAATGGTAAACAACCTCCCTGACATGTAAGACCATGGGAAAACAAGGACTGCCAAGATGGCAGCTGAGGTCCAACCGTCAAGCTCACCAGGACAATAAACTGTGGAAGTTTCACACGCCCCTTACTATCTTTGCATGTCCTCTCGTGCCAGGCCAAAAATCCTTATTGTACCATCTATGCCCGTTCGGATCACAACCACGAGTTACTCTCTCCAACCCCAAGGTTCTAAGATCAACAGGACAATCCAGAATTCCTACAGGAGAAAACAACTGATATCTTGGGACATGATGTACGCGGATAACCTGGCCACTTGAGTCCTGTTCCCATGTGTCCTGCCGGACTTCTTCTGTACATTTCAAAACTGTCTCATTTTCTGGAGACTTGGACGTCACTTCTTTGGCCCATTTCAAACGCTGTCGCTTGTCAGATCTCTGTTGCAACACTCGATTTTCATCAAACAAAGAATACCGACCACTCTTCAAACACTGTCGCAAAACGCTTGCATCCATGCTCTTTGTCAAACAATCTGCAAGCTGAGCATTTGATGTAACCCATCTCACTACGCAATTGGCCTGCAATCTTTCTCTGATGAGCAAACACTCAATGGTGGTCCTATGCTCCTCACACTGTGGAACGGCCGTGCGAGTCAGAAGGTCATAGGCACTCTTACAGTCGGTCACAAGAGCAGCTTGTCGGGCTTCGTGCAACACTTTCTCGGGGGACTGCCATTCAATCGAGGGGTTATTCAACCACTGCCACAAAATCCTCAACCACAACAAACGATCAACATTCCCACTCAATGCCACTGCTTCAGCCCCCAAGGTGCTCCTAGTCACCCGTTGAATTTTCTTGCTCATCCAAGCTACTGGTGCTACCACTGATCTCTTGTTCTCCAGCAACTCTGGAGTCGTGACAAAAATCAAACCTCCCTGATGGGCATATTTCTCTTTTCCTGAAAGGAACGAGGCATCGGAGAAGGCACAGAAAGTCACTTGTTCAGGGGCAATCGGCAATGTCATTAAAGTCACAGGGTGAACCTTTGCCTCATGCAACACTCGATTTGCAAAAATCATGTCATCGACTGTTGCCTTTGCCACCCTACTTTGGATCTCTCCAACTTTGGCCGCAATGTCGGGACGGGTATGGACTGCTGCATATTGCAGAGCTCCAACAAGACTTCGCAACTGCGTCACTTCACTCGGGCTCAGCGCAGCTTCAGCATTGGTACGTCTCTGTTTTGGGATTTCAATTGGCCTAATCTTCTCTATATAGTCAATCTGATCATACTCCACACTGCCATCATCCCACTGCTGAAACCTTATGCCCGTGAAGACAAAGGACCCTTTTTCAAATGATCCAAAACTGAAACGCTTTCTGACTCTTTCCAAGGCTGCCATAAACATGTTGTCCCCACCCCCAATGCCATCATCGACATGAACCCCTAGGGAACCATGAACTCTTTCTTTCCCCTTTTCATCAACAGAAACAAGAGTAAAAACACAAGGATCAAAAGGACACTGTTAAAAACCTTCTTGCAACAACGAGTCACGAAACTTACAATACCACAAATAAGGAGCATCAACACGACCATACGCACTACCTACCAATTGACACTGATCACCAGGTTCCAACCCAAGGGCTTCTGTTAACTCTGGGGTGGGATACAAACCAAGCAAGCGGCCGTCTCCTTCGCCTTGAAGAAAGGCAGTTGAGACATCGAAGGAAACTAGTTCCCAACCATGACTACTCACCTGTTGCACCACCATCTGTCTTCCATCTTTGGTGAGTGTGGGTGAATCATTTTGAACCACCCCAACTCCAGGATCCTCGTATCCAACAACAATCGACCGGGCCTTTGCCTTACGACCCTCACTCACATCCTTGGGGTGATCCTCAGGTGAGGCTGATTTCCAGGTGAGCAGCCATCGGCAGCGCATGATTGCTTCCTCAGGAATTTTTCCTTTGGATGCTTTTCTCACAGTTCCATGTTTGAGCCAGGCGCCTATTTCTTTGTGCTTGGCCACCGCCATGCGCTGTTGGTCAGCACTGCTTAAATCACTCAAACGGACTTCAACTCGTTTCTTCTTTGCTCCAGTCACCAACAACACACTTTCATCTGCTGATCCAGCGCAAAACAGTGCATGCTCTTCATGGTTTTCAACAGGGATTTCAATCTCCCAGAACTGGCAACACCTATCATCTGCAGACATGGTGATGTCATCTCCAAACAGAAGGTCATCCGTTGGTTCAAGATTGACGCCCGCCTGTGAGGCATCACCATCGGACTCACTGACACTTTCTGGAACCGGCACACGCACGTAATCAGGGAGTTCATTCTCTGACTGTTCCACTCCTTGAGGCGGTTCAGACTGATTGCTCAACTCCCCATTAGGTGTCCCAGGTGGCTGAACTGACAACTCTCCTTCGGGCTCCCCAATTGATGGGTCATATCCCTCTGTTTCAGCTTCCCAGTCAGGAAAATCCTCCCCATCTACATCAATGAAACTGCCATCATTGAGGGCTCTCTGTAAATCTGAGTTCCCTGGGCCAGACTCTGTGAGCAACTCTTTGGCCTGCTTCCACTCCCGAAAACTGGCTGCACGAAGTTGCTCAGGGCTCGTGCGCACTAGCTTTCCAGCATGATTCAACCAAACATTCTTGGACCCTTCGACTGCAACAACACTCGCTGGCCCATACCAGCGACCACGATCTCTACGTAGATTGGCACCCCTCCTACGCCAATACAACACAAGATCTCCTATTTCAAAAGGTCCTCGCATTGGCCGAGTCCGCCTCAAAAGCGCACGACGAAGACTGGATGAATTATCAGCTTCTATGAAAGCTCTGCGTGCACTGCTGCGTCTTTCCAGACTGGCTCGAAAGGCTTCGCTCTCGGGACCAGTCCCTTCAGCCAGAGTTATACTTCCTACCCCCTGACTAGAGACAACGGACCCAGGCAATCTTTTGGCAATTCCAAGGACAGCTTGTTCGGGAGAGTATCCCTTCACTCTGGATAAACTGTTCTTGGCATTGAACACATGAACCAAAGCCTGCTCAAACTCCCCAACCGAGCTTATTGGTGACTCCAAATCCATGCGACTCAACATCTTCTTCACAACTGATCCGTGAATTTCCACTCTCCCCAGTTGCCAGTGTGCTTCACTTGCACTGACTTTGACATGGATGTCATGCCTTTGCATTCTGTCCTGCCATGCTTCTGCCGTATATTCCGTGCCAGGGTCAACATACACAACTTGTGGAGTGCCAGCCCATAACATCCAACATTTCTCAAAGACTCGAATTTGAGAATCTGTGTCCGCACTGACAACATGAGAACCAACATGAAACAAAGTCCCTTCATCAATGATATGAGAAAACTGAAAGTTCTTACCAACACTATTAGTCCAAACAGCAGTGTCCATACCAATCACTTGATTGAATCCCAGATTCTCATGAATTGTGCCAGGACGGGTGGAGTCTGGACCAGCTTTTGTTTCCGCACAACTGTCGCACTGATAATCCAGAGCTCCTTGAACCAAATGAGGTTCCGCATGCCTTTCCTTCAAAAACCAGGCAAACTTCTGTGGATGTGGATGGCCTAAGTTGTGATGCAACCTCCGAATCTGAGCCTTTTCATCACCATTCAACAACATGTACCCTGGTCCATGAACCGGAACATTCTTGGGAGGGTCTTTACTTACCACAACAACATCTTCACCATCATCCCCAGTACCTGCTTCCTTATCAGACCCCATTGTCTCAAGCTCCCCTGACTTTGGGAAACTTCCAAAAATGGTGAGGCTCATCTTTGCGGATTGACCCTTTCGAATTTGCTGCCTTTTTGGCAGAGCAGCCCATTCCTCAGCTGGGCCAAGTACCATTGACTGACCCGCGATGCGGTCTTTGACCACGGTCAATCTCAACGGGATGGTTTCTGGGTCCGCATCAGCTCCAGGAAGGCGCAACCTCTCAGTTCCCCTACAGGCCTCAACCCTCTGAACCTTCAAGTTTGGGGCCCCCTTCTGAATCTGAGCTAAAACCCCATCATCATCCAAAACACGTTTGCCTACCCGTGGAACCATGGTTTCAATTTTCTTAAAAATGCCATCCCAATATTCACCGGCTGCACATCCGTGGTCACCTGCTGGTGTCTGTTTGCAGTGATACCTTGGACGCTTCACTTCTGCTGAAACCGGCTCTTCTAAGCTCTCTGGAACTGCTGCAGCGGACACTCTTTTTCTTTTGACAACTCCGGCAACAAAAGCTTCATCAACATCACAAACATGCAACTCATCCAAAACCAGTGGCTTCTCATCAAACCTACAGGAAACATACCTTGCCACATTCCTACCAAAACCGGAGGTGTACCTTGCAGCATATTCCGAGAGAGAAATCCACCGACCCAAATGATAGATCTTGCCAGCAATTGGAGCATGCTTATGATGCCCAGGACACAATCGGTGGTCAAATGCATCATGGAAAATCTTTGAGGAAGTGTAGACATGCGTCCTTTTCCTAAGGAAATTGTTTCCAGACACTCGTCGCATCACATGTGGGGCAAGTAGTTTTCCAACTTCACACATATCAAAAACAGTACACAGGGTCCCACAGTAAATATCATAGACTTCCGGTTGATAAATCAACTCCGACCCTTGGGGTTGTTCCAAATGAAATTGACCACCACAATCCATCTGATACCAATACACATCATTACAAAGCTTCAAATGAACACGTTGCTTCTTGCGACCCTCTGAAATCATTTGTTCTGTGCTTTTGCTCCTGCCCATGTTTCTGCGACTGAAGTTGCCCCAATATTTGCATTCTGGTGCCATCCAGACTTCTCTCGGTCGCTCTTCCTCCAAAACTTTCCAAAGCGCAGCTTGACCTTCTGGTGTAGAAAGATCTCCATCACTGAAAGTGAATCTTCTGGCCTTCAATCCCAGCTTACAGGCTTGTTCTGTGATTTGAGAATGTTCTTCACAATAGATCTCCAGAAGATCACTTCCAAACTTCTGGAAAGTCTGAGAGTCGGTCAGCGTCGGCCATATCTTTTGAAGACAGGTCAGCTCTGCTTCAATTGTTCCCATTGCTAGTTCAATCTTTTTGAGCAATTGGTTGGTCAATTGCTGATCTGTCTCGAGTTGCTCTACGCTAGACCTCTCATTCAGACTCCCTCCAAGTCGGCCTTGATCTTGTCCATCTCGCGCTGCAAGATCGCCATGCGAGTGATCATCTCCTCTTTCTGCTGCACCTCGATCGCCATCTGCGACTGCTCTTCTTCCATGGGGCGCTTCTGACTTGGTGATGACATCGTGCTCATCGGACGCGATGTCACCCCTCCTGTCAACAGCTCCCACTCTGGTCCTTGACTCTTCTCGATCTCTGCCTTCGGATACATCTTGGACATCTCGGCTTTGGCCCACTGTCTGGCATACTCCTGGTAGAAGGCCTTCGAGCAATCTTCCTGCATCCTGTCCATGGCTTCCACGTAAGCCTGAAAACTCAGTGCCCAAGCTGACACCAGTTTCCTGTGCTCCTTCATGAACTTGCCGTACTTTGGGTCCTCCTGGTATGCCTGAAAGAAGGACTTGTGCCGCCACTTCCCTTCCGGGAACTTCAACTGACCCCACTCCTTCAAGGTCATCACACCTGGAGGGCGACGACTTTTGATCTCTGGTAGGAAGAGTCATGGCTGTCAGCTTGAGAAAGAGCGGACTGACTTTGAAGCCGATCTGGTTCTCGGTCAACTTGAGGTTGAGCCACAGCAGCTGTAGCAGTCGTCGAAGATGTACTTGACATTGTGTTTGGCTGCTGCTGCTGCTGCTGCTGCTGCTGCAGTAAACCTCCCTACTTCGATTTTCAATTCTACTACTTGCCAAAGTGATGACTTCCTCAAACTTTTCTGAATTACTTCTCATGCTAGCCGCATCAATCAAGTCTGACAACTTGACAATAAACAGCCCCTTGGCATTTCTGGTGAGTGTCACGGATTTTCCCCAAGAAGACACTTCCAAACAGGATTTACTCACCAGAACATCTGCGCCAAGTGCATGAAGAAAGGCATTTGAAATGAGGAAAGGCGTGGTTCCTTGAACCACTTCAATTTTCATCCATTGTTTCCCAAACGGTACAAACAGCGCACCAACACTCTTCAAAACACCATTGTTACCAAATCTAAAAACGGTTTCAGATTCCTTCCACTTAACCATCTCACGGTGTTCTGCCTTCAAAGTAGTCAAAAGTGCACTCACTCGCTTTTCGCCGATCACGGACTTGCTTGCACCGGTATCTATGATCCCAGTGCCTGAGTCACCTAAGCTGCCATTCCTACTTTCCTCAGTTGACTCAGGGGACCTGCCAGTGACACTGAAGCTTGTCTCAATTGCTCGACGAAACATTTCTTTCAGTTTGGGAAAATATTTCAAACTCTTTTCACAACATGACTTCCCTTTGGGAATGTTGATCGCATGCAAAATCATTTCATGGGAACCTATTAAACTGAATTCTTCATTATCAACATGGTACTCAGGTGGCACCATCGTGGGCAACCAAAATTTTGAACACATCCCCACCTGCCAATTGGCAAGATCATGGCCAGGAAGTTCATCAAGAAGTTCACCACCCCCTGAGAGCTCTTCCGTGAGGATCACGTTCGCATCTGCAGTCACATTCTTGTCCTTCAGCGGGCACTCATCCTTCCAGTGGCCTCGTGCTCCACAGGCGCGACAGGTAGAGCTTGCTATGCGCTCTGCAAGACTCTGATACTTTCTGGGGCCTTTGCCCTTCTTTGACTTGTTCTTGCCTTTCCCTTTTCCATGACGAAGGGGCCAAAACCCTCGGCTGCGAAATTTGTCTCGAAGCTTCTGTCGTGCCTCCTGGTACGTGGAGAACGCCATGGCCAGTTCAGGTGAATCCTGACAAACATGGATCACCTGATCCTCGAACTCTTGTATGGCAAGTGCTGTCTCATCACCTTCCTCGATGAGCATGGCTAAGGCTTGCTCTTCATCACATTCTTCTTCAGCTGCATAGTGAATTTCATCCAACTCCTCTTCCACAAAGTTGGCTGGATACACCTTCTTGCGTCCAGCATCTGTCTGCCCAAGCACTTTGGTCGACAGGGACCTCATTGCCTTTTCCACTGCCGACGGATCATAGTTGCCTGCCATAGAGACCACACGCTTCTTGTCCTCAACAGTCAAGGCACTCTGTCTCAACATCACGAAGGCTCGAACTTGTTGGACGGTTGTTTCAGAGCCCACTTCTTCGAAAGCAACATTGATTCGGTTGACAAACGACATTGCTGACTCGTCTGTCTTTTGGACTACTCGGTAAAACGCCTTCTCAAATTTGTCAAAGGTCTGAAGTTCCTCGGCATCCTCCCAGGTCTCCAAAGCTTTCAACAGTACCTTGTAACCAGTCTCAGGGTCTGTCAACTTCGACGCATCAATGGCTCTCACCTGACTCCATGCAGTCCCTTTGCACTGCAAAGCCAACCTTGGTGCCAACATACTTCTGTCCTTCACAGGGCATATGCCCCATAGAAACTTCACCTTGTCCGCATACTCTTTGGCGCTATCGACACTAGGGTCGAAACTCGGCAACAAGCTCCACAAGTTGCTCGTCTTCTCTTCCACACTCACACTTCCACCAGGCTGTCCCTCAGCCCCGTCTGGCATCTTCCCAAGACGCTTCCACCTTTATTTTTCACTACCCAGTCGCCTCACCAGGTACTTGCCCTTCTCAACCAAGTTTTCCTTCTGGAAGTCCTCCTCCAGCGCCAGCCCGCAGGCTCCGCTACCAATGCGAAGCAGCCTCGCTTCAACAGCAGCCACCAGCAGCAACGCCTCTGCTGCTTTTCCCACCAATGGCTCAATCCGCACCGCTGCCCACCGCTGGAGGTGAACCAATAGTTGCGGCCAAGGTGCAAATGGTAAACAACCTCCCTGACATGTAAGACCATGGGAAAACAAGGACTGCCAAGATGGCAGCTGAGGTCCAACCGTCAAGCTCACCAGGACAAAAAACTGTGGAAGTTTCACAGTATATATATATATATGTATAATTATGTATATGTATATATATATAATATTTATATTTATGTAGAATGTATAACCTGTACTGTATAAATTGGGGCAGACCCAAGCACCGATAGCCGCGGCTCGTAGGAAATCTCAGCCCTTCGGGATACGAGGCGCAATGGCAGCGACCCCCTGGACGCGATTCCGGACATTCGCTACTTCTACGAGCCGTTGCATTCGCTGGAACCGCACGAGCAGAAATTCATGATTGACCTCATTAGAGAAGTTCTGAAGATGATGGTTGGGCCCTCAGATGCGGATGGGAGCTGGATTTAGTTTTTCTTAAATCTTAGATCCAAAATTAGTGTTTTTGTCGATCCTGTCACAAAAAACGCAGCTTGCAAATGGACTTTTTATAGATCTTTCTAGCTGCAGTTTTCCCATTCTCAGCAACTTATTATTGCTACTAAATCCCGCACGGTTGTTTGAAAGGTGACTTCGTCGCCGACATATTCTGACGGTCAAATCCTCATGTTATGTCAGAATATGCCGATGTTTCTTCATGAAGAATTACAACGTTAACACACCTTATTTCTCAATGGGTTGTTAGGTTGGCTATGGTTGCTTGGATGAGTTCTCATTGAGTATTGTCAACTGCTGGGTAACTATCAGATTCTGTTGGTCTAAGAACTTTTTCGTCGCGACAAAGTTGCCCTTTTTGTTGGTCCCTCGTTTTCTCTCAAATCCTCATCGCGATATATCGAGATAAACCCACATTTTTGACAACATTTTTTTTGATTTTTGCCGATTTTTGTGGAGTCTTCAATGGTTTTGATTTCCCCAGTGAAATCTTCAGATAACGGGAATATAGTTATAGGTTTAGTTGGGATATAGCCCCTAAAACTATTGGTGATATCCCATGATTTGCAACAAACGCGTCCGAAAAACCTTCGTTTCGCCCAGATGGATAGCGACTTCGCCTCGGGAAAGGTGAAATCTTCAGCGCTCGAGCGCTTTGTGTCAGAGGCGTCACGGATGATGGGAGGTGGCGCGGATGGTGCAATATATACAATGTGGGGCCCCCGTGGCCACGAAATCGCAACAAGTTGGGGTGAACTAATAACTCCAATTTCACTATGGTGAACATGACACGCTTAAATAACAATAGTTCATTGGGTTTATAAAGCAACCTTATAACGGGGGGGGACCCACATTGTATATATATATAATGTGATGTAGAAATATGGTGATATAATTGATATAATTTGGATTTGTGACAACTCCCACATGGGATACCTATTGGGTGTAAAGTTTTTTTTTTTTAAAATAAAAATATTCTCATGATATATGGCTTTAATGACACGAAAACAGGGTACAAAATGATGGTATGATGTTTTTTTCCCCAAACAGTTTACTGTAGGGGTTCTCAGTTCTTTCTTAAGAGGTGTCCGCCCTTGCGTTACTGGCCGTGTCCGCCTCTCTGGGTCTGTCGCTTTATTTGTCTCCTTCATTTGTCTCCCTTCATGTGTCTCCCTGAGTGGTGATGTGTCTCCCTGAGTGGTGGTGTCCGCCTCGCCGGTCTTGTCTGTGCCTTGTCTCCCTTCATGTGTCTCCCTGAGTGGTGGTGTCCGCCTCGCCGGTCTTGTCTGTGCCTTGTCTCCCTTTATTTGTCTCCCTTCATGTGTCTCCCTGAGTGGTGGTGTCCGCCTCGCCGGTCTTGTCTGTGCCTTGTCTCCCTTCATTTGTCTCCCTGCATGTGTCTCCCTGAGTGGTGGTGTCCGCCTCGCCGGTCTTGTCTGTGCCTTGTCTCCCTTCATGTGCCTCCCTGAGTGGTGGTGTCCGCCTCTCCGGTCTTGTCTGTGCCTTGTCTCCCTTCATTTGTCTCCGTTCATGTGTCTCCCTGAGTGGTGGTGTCCGCCTCGCCGGTCTTGTCTGTGCCTTGTCTCTCCTTCATTTGTCTCCCTGAGTGGTGGTGTCCGCCTCTCCGGTCTTGTCTGTGCCTTGTCTCCCTTCATTTGTCTCCCTTCATTTACCTCCCTTCATGTGTCTCCCTGAGTGGTGGTGTCCGCCTCTCCGGTCTTGTCTGTGCCTTGTCTCCCTGTCATTTGTCTCCCTGAGTGGTGGTGTCCGCCTCTCCGGTCTTGTCTGTGCCTTGTCCCCCTTCATTTGTTTCCCTTCATGTGTTTCCCTGAGTGGTGGTGTCCGCCTCGCCGGTCTTGTCTGTGCCTTGTCTCCTTTCATTTGTCTCCCTTCATGTGTCTCCCTGAGTGGTGGTGTCCGCCTCTCCGGTCTTGTCTGTGCCTTGTCTCCCTTCATTTGTCTCCCATCATGTGTCTCCTTGAGTGGTGGTGTCCGCCTCTCCGGTCTTGTCTGTGCCTTGTCTCCCTTCATTTGTCTCCCTGAGTGGTGGTGTCCGCCTCTCCGGCCTTGTCTGTGCCTTGTCTCCCTTCATGTGTCTCCCTGAGTGGTGGTGTCCGCCTCGCCGGTCTTGTCTGTGCCTTGTCTCCCTTCATGTGTCTCCCTAAGTGGTGGTGTCCGCCTCTCCGGTCTTGTCTGTGCCTTGTCTCCCTTCATTGTCATGTGTCTCCCTGAGTGGTGGTGTCCGCCTCTCCGGTCTTGTCTG